TAAACATATTTTTATTTTTTCATCCTTTGCCTGATCTTCTGCCTCCTGAAACCCACCACCACACATGGTCTGCCATCTCCACCCCCAGAACGTGACACAAGTGTTGAAACCAATGTCCGCCTAGCAGAGCTGGACAAGCGCCCCCTAATGGTTAGTAGGAAGAGTCCAGATGTGCCATATCATCCTTGCTCAGAGCGTTTAAGACCACCTCTCCACTGCAGAAGAAGCTGTAGCACCACCACTCTGAGAACATCTGGAGCTGGGCCACCTTGGGAAAGGCTGACAGCAAATGTTTCCCCAACAGTTGTGTGTGAACACATGAATAGGCCTCTAGTAACATCTAGATAGTATGGATTACACATAGATGACATGGAGCCAGATGGGTCATGTGACCAAGCTCAAGTCTTCATTCTCCAGGTGTGTCAGAGAGAAGCTTTTATCAACATCTGAAATCATCAGTTTCAGCACAGAATGCAGCAGCTCACCTGAAGACAGGTAGGAGACGGCACCACCACATCACATCTGCATGGCCTCTCTACACTGGCTTCCTGTTCGTTTCATCATTCAGTTCAGGAGGTTTTAAGAAATGTGTCTGGTTAGCTGCAGCAACACGATCCAGTCAGAATGCTGAGGTCAGCCTCTCAGCTGCTTCTGGACATCCCCACCACCAGATGAAAGGACAACTGATGGAGCCGTGTGTAGTGTTGTGGGATTTTATTAGAAACTTAGAGAAAACAGTCCTGGATTCAGTCAGCAAAGTAAGTTTTATTACAATAAGAAACAAATATCCTTCCATCCATTTTCTATCCTAATCAGATGCTCGAGCCACCTGAACTGGCTCGTCTTGATGTGGAGGAGCAGATCTACTCCGAGCCCCTCCCAGGTGACAGAGCTTCTCACTCCATCTCCAAGGGAGAGCCCAGCCACCCTGCGGAGAAAACTCATTCCAGCTGCTTGTATCCGAGATCTCGACCCAAAGCCCGTGACCATAGGTGAGGGTAGGAACGTAGATCGATCGGTAAATCGAGAGCTTTGCCTTCCGACTCAGCTCTCTCTTCACCACGAAAGATCGGTACAACGCCCGCATCACTGCAGATGCAGCACCAATCCACCCATTGAACTCACGCTCCTTCTTTCCCTCACTCGTGAACAAGACCTTGAGATACTTGAACTCCCCCACTTGAGGCAGGACCTCGTCCGTGACCTGGAGAAGGCATTCTACCCTTTTCTGATTTAAGACCATGGTCTCAGATTTAGAGGAGCTGATTCTCATCCCAGCTGCTTCACACTCGGCTGCGAACCGCTCCAGCAAAAGCCGGAGATCTTGTTCTGATGAAGCCAATAGGACCACATCATCTGCAAAAAGCAGAGATCCGATCCTCTGGCCACCAAAACGAATGCCCTCAAGACCACATAAACAAATAATGAAACATAAAGATCATTGCTGTAGCAAAGTGTACTTTAATCTTAGTGAAACAACGACGTCTCATTAAACTAAACAGGACAGAAAATAAAAATTACTAAAATCACAGATTGAAAAACTCCTCCTTGAACCGTCACCTTATCGTGGTGGAGGAGTTTGAGTGCCCTAATGATCCTAGGAGCTATGTTGTCTGGGGCACTTGGTGCCCCTGGTAGGGTCTCCCATGACAAATTGGTCTTAGGTGAAGGGTGAGACAAAGAACGGTTCGAAGGATCTTTCATGGCGGTTAAAACGAAGAGTCGGAGTACCCGGCCCGGAGGGTTACCGGGGTCCCACCCTGGAGCCAGGCCTGGGGTTGGGGCCCGTGAGCGAGCGCCTGGTGGCCGGGCTTTCGCCCATGGGGCCCGGCCGGGCCCAGCCCGAACCGGATACATGGGCTCGTCCAACTGTGGACCCACCACCCGCAGGAGGAACATGAAGGGTCCGGTGCAATGCGAATCGGGTGGCAGACCAAGGCGGGAGCCTTGGCGGTCCAATCCCCGGACAAGAAAACTAGTTTTTGGGACATGGAACGTCACCTCGCTGGCGGGGAAGGAGCCGGAGCTTGTGGCAGAGGTTGAGCGGTACCGGCTAGATATAGTCGGACTCACCTCGACACATTGCATTGGCTCTGGAACCCGAGACCTGGAGAGGGGTTGGACACTCTACTTTGCTGGAGTTGCTCCGGGTGAGAGGCGGAGGGCTGGGGTTGGCTTTTTGTTAGCCCCGAGACTCTCTGCCTGTGTGTTGGGGTTTACCCCGGGGGACAAGAGGGTAGCTTCCTTGCGCCTTCGGGTCGGGGAACGGGTCCTGACTGTTGTTTGTGCTTATGGGCCAAATATCAGTTCAGAGTACCCACCCTTTTTGGAGTCCCTGGGACGAGTGCTAGATAGTGCTCCATCAGGGGACTCCATTGTCCTGCTGGGGGACTTCAATGCTCACGTGGGCAATGACAGCTTGACCTGGAGGGGTGTGATTGGGAGGAACGGCCCACCTAATCTGAACTCGAGCGGTGTTTTGTTATTGGACTTCTGTGCAAGCCGCAGTTTGGCCATAACGAACACCATGTTCGAACATAAGGATGCCCACCGGTACACTTGGTACCAGGGCAGCCTAGGTCACAGGTCGATGATAGATTTTGTAGTCGTATCATCTGACCTGCGGCCGTATGTTTTGGACACCCGAGTGAAGAGAGGGGCGGAGCTGTCAACTGATCACCACCTGGTGGTGAGTTGGATCAGATGGCAAGGGAACATGCCGCGTAGACCTGGCAGACCCAAACGCATAGTGAGGGTCTGCTGGGAACGCCTGGCAGAAGAACCTGTCAAGACGGTCTTCAACTCCCACCTCCGGCAGAGCTTTGACCACGTCCCGAGAGCAGTGGGGGACATTGAGTCCGAGTGGGCCTTGTTCCACTCTGCGATTGTCGAGGCGGCTGTTGCTAGCTGTGGTCGTAAGGTGGCCGGTGCCAGTCGTGGTGGCAACCCCCGTACCCGCTGGTGGACACCAGAGGTTCGGGGTGCCGTCAGGCTGAAGAAGGAGGCCTACAGGGCGTGGCTGGTCTGTGGGTCTCCGGAGGCAGCAGACAGGTACCGGATAGCCAAGCGGGGTGCAGCAGTGGCAGTTGCCGAGGCAAAATCTCGGGCATGGGAGGAGTTTGGTGAGGCCATGGAGAAAGACTATCGATCGGCTCCAAAGAGGTTCTGGCAAACTGTCCGGCGCCTCAGGAGAGGAAGGCAGCAACTCGCTCACACTGTTTACAGTGGGGATGGGGAGCTGATGACGTCAACTGGGGCTATAGTCGGACGGTGGAAGGAATACTTTGAGGAGCTCCTCAATCCCACCAATGCGCATTCCGAGGAGGAACCAGAGCTGGGAGGCCTGGGGATGGACTGTCCGATCTCGGGGGCAGAAGTTGCTGAGGTAGTCAAACAACTACACAGCGGCGGAGCCCCGGGGGCGGATGAGGTTCGTCCTGGGTATCTCAAGGCTATGGATGTTGTAGGGCTGTCATGGTTGACACGTCTCTACAACATTGCGTGGTCATCGGGGGCAGTTCCTAGGGAGTGGCAGACCGGGGTGGTGGTCTCCATCTTTAAGAAGGGTGACCTGAGGGTGTGTTCCAACTATAGGGGGATCACACTCCTCAGCCTCCCTGGAAAGGTCTACTCCAAGGTACTGGAGAGGAGGGTCCGATCGATAGTTGAATCTCAGATAGAGGAGGAGCAATGTGGTTTTCGTCCTGGCCGTGGAACTGTGGACCAGCTCTATACCCTTGCAAGGGTGATGGAGGGGGCATGGGAGTTTGCCCAACCAATCCACATGTGCTTTGTGGATTTGGAGAAGGCTTATGACCGTGTCCCCAGGGGCACCCTGTGGGGGACGCTCCAGGAGTATGGGGTGGGTGGCTTTCTGTTAAGGGCCATTCAGTCCCTTTACCAGAGGAGCGTGAGTTTGGTCCGCATAGCCGGTAGTAAGTCGGACCTGTTCCCAGTGAGGGTTGGACTCCGCCAGGGCTGCCCTTTGTCACCGGTTCTGTTCATAACTTTTATGGACAGAATTTCTAGACGCAGCCGTGGTGTGGAGTGTGTCGAGTTTGGTGGCAGGAGAATCTCGTCTCTGCTTTTTGCGGATGATGTGGTCCTCCTAGCTTCATCCAGCTCTGACCTTCAGCTCTTGCTGGGTAGGTTCGCGGCCGAATGTGAAGCGGCTGGGATGAGGATCAGCACCTCCAAATCTGAGACCATGGTTCTCGACCGGAAAAGGGTGGCTTGCCACCTCCGGGTCGGGGGAGAGGTCCTACCTCAAGTGGAGGAGTTTAAGTATCTCGGGGTCTTGTTCACGAGTGAGGGTAGGAGGGATCGGGAGATCGACAGGCGGATTGGTTCGGCGTCTGCAGTGATGCGGACGCTGAGCCGATCTGTCGTGGGGAAGAGGGAGCTGAGCCAGAAAGCCAGGCTCTCGATTTACCGGTCGATCTACGTCCCAATCCTCACCTATGGTCATGAGCTTTGGGTAATGACCGAAAGAACGAGATCGCAGATACAAGCGGCCGAAATGAGTTTCCTCCGTAGGGTGGCCGGGCTCAGCCTTAGAGATAGGGTGAGGAGCTCGGACATTCGGGAGGGTCTCGGAGTAGAACCGCTGCTCCTCCGGATCGAAAGGAGCCAGTTGAGGTGGTTTGGGCATCTGGTCAGGATGCCTCCTGGACGCCTCCCCGGGGAGGTGTTTCGGGCATGTCCTGCCGGCAGAAGGCCCCCGGGTCGACCCAGGACACGTTGGAGAGGTTACATCTCCAATCTGGTCCGGGAACGCCTTGGGGTCCTGCCGGAGGAGCTGGTGGACAAGGCCGGGGAGAGGACGGCCTGGAGCTCCCTAGTTGGGATGCTGCCCCCGCGACCCGGACCCGGATAAGCGGAGGAAGACGAGACGAGACGAGACAGATTGAAAGAAATCTCCACCATCCTGTAACTGCTGCTTTACCCAGAAGAACAGAACACACTCATAACACCTGAATGATGGAGAACACTCTAACAGGTCTGCAGAGAACCTTTAATGTTCAAATAATTCAAAAATAAAACCATCATAACAGCCCTAGACAGATGAAGACACGAGACATTCTGTATAAAAGACGATCATGTCTCCTGTCAAGTGTTGATGATCCAACAGCGGACTAAACCAGAACCGCTCTGAACTCTGTAATTTACCATCTAAACACACATTATTCATGATTCTTCCTCAGTAGCTTTTTTCTCACAACAGGATTCATTTTTAGTCTAAAAATTTCCCTTTTTTTGTATTTTTATTATGGTCTTTGTTCTTTTTTTTCCAGTTTTGTCGTTCTTATAAAGCACCTTGTGAGCTTTTCTTGAGAGACGCTAAATACAAATATTTTTTCTTCTGCCTAGTGGTATGCAAGCACATTACAGGGGTACTTGGACACAGTTCATATTTCACTTCCCAGACGATGGTTCAGTGATTCGACAGCATTTGCTGAATCTTACTTAAAAATCAAAACAAAACAAAAACATTGGACTGTGATCTGTATTGCTTAATTAATTCACAAATGAATAAACCCACAGCTTTTATCAGTGATAATGGTATTGTAGGAGAATGGAGTCTCCACAGAGCCGCCTTGTAATTTATGACTTCTTGACAACAGTCCCAACTGTCTCTCCACAACCTTTAAGGTGGGATTTCTCTTTAGGGGATCCAAATGAATAAAGACACATTATTTTTAAGCTGTAGTTATTACAACATTGTATGCTATTATTTTATATACAGATAAATTGTTTAAAGCAGGCACCACCGGTATCTAACAGCTTTAAATTGCAGTGGGTTATGTACTACAACCATCATGTGCCTGTTGTCTTGTCTGTTTCTTAAATACAGGAGGGTATAACAGTTTTTCTTAATCTTTAAGTAATATTTTTCAGAATTCATGAATGAACATCTCAAATGTTTGGTTAAGGTCTGAGTTTAAAAACAAAGGCGATTTGAAAAAGAAAATCAAAAGAAGAGGTGGCTCAAGGGCAGAGTACGGACTTGATTAACGATAGTTGAGCAGAGGTACAAGACTAACATTAAGGTTGTAAAAAAACTAAATAGTCTAATAAGTACATTTGGAAGTACTGTTGTTAAATAAATCCCTCGAGCCTTTTGTGGATGCTCGTATGTCTCTTTAAATTTGTCTTTCGGCTAAATCTTTGTCCACAGGCAAAGGCTTCTCTCCTGTGTGGACTTTAATGTGTGTGTTTAAATGTGACTTTTGGGTACATCTGTATCCACAGAGCTCACAGGCAAAAGGCTTCTCTCCTGTGTGGACTCTAATGTGTGTGTTAAAATTCGACTTTTTGGTACATCTGTATCCACAGAGCTCACAGGCAAAATGCTTCTCTCCTGTGTGGACTCTCATGTGTGTGTTTAAATGTGACTTTTGGGTACATCGGTATCCACAAAGCTCACAGACTAAAGGCTTATCTCCTGTGTGGACTTTAATGTGTGTGTTTAAACTTGCCTTTTGGGTACATCTGTATCCACAGAGCTCACAGGCAAAGGGCTTCTCTCCTGTGTGGACTCTCATGTGTTTGTTTAAACGTGCCTTTTGGGCACATCTGTATCCACAGAGCTCACAGGCAAAAGGCTTCTCCCCTGTGTGGACTCTCATGTGTGTGTTTAAACTACCTTTACGGCTAAATCTTTGTCCACAGCGCTCACAGGCAAAAGGCTTCTCTCCTGTGTGCACTCTCATGTGTGTGTTTAAATTAGCCTTTTTGGTACATCTGTATCCACAGAGCTCACAGGCAAAGGGCTTCTCTCCTGTGTGGACTCTCATGTGTTTGTTTAAACGTGCCTTTTGGGCACATCTATATCGACAGAGCTCACAGGCAAAAGGCTTATCTCCTGTGTGGACTTTCATGTGTGTGTTTAAACTTGCCTTTTGGGTACATCTGTATCCACAGAGCTCGCAGGCAAAAGGCTTATCTCCTGTGTGCACTCTCATGTGTGTGTTTAAACTACCTTTACGGCTAAATCTTTGTCCACAGCGCTCACAGGCAAAAGGCTTCTCTCCTGTGTGCACTCTCATGTGTGCATTTAAACGTGCCTTTTGGGTACATCTATATCCACAGAGCTCACAGGCAAAAGGCTTCTCTCCTGTGTGGCCTTTCATGTGTGTGTTTAAATCTGATTTTTGGGTACATCTGTATCCACAGAGCTCACAGGCAAAAGGCTTCTCTCCTGTGTGGACTCTCATGTGTCTGTTTAAACTTGCCTTTCTGGTACATCTGTATCCACAGAGCACACAGGCAAAAGGCTTCTCCCCGGTGTGGCCTTTCATATGACGGGTTAATTTGGACTTTTGGCTAAATCTTTTCCCACAGTCATCACAACTAAATGATTTTGGTTCTTTCTGGACTTTTCTACATGAGCCTCCATGTTGCTTCTCTTTCACACATTTTGTATTAACCGAACACTCTGACAACTTTACTGCTGAATGACTTGTCACTCTCACATGTTCCTGAAGAGACCACTGGTGGAGGAACCGTATACCACACACAGGGCAGCTAAATGATTTGTTGACGGTCTTTATATCTGACTCCGAAGACTTGTTCTCATTACAGCCATGGTCTTCGTTTCCAGTTTTGGGCCCAGAGTCTGAAAGCTCAGAGTCTAGATTCACATCATCTTCATCTTCTCCGCTAACTTCAATCTCTGAAGAATTGGATGTCTTTTCATTAGGGTCCAGATCTAGGTTCTTGCTAGTTTCTGCTCCTCCACCAACTTTTGCTGCCATCTGCCCAGCCAAGCTGCTGGTTGGGACACCTCCGTCTTTCATTTGATGGTTGTGGAAATGTAAGAGCAGAGGTTTCTCATCCGTCTCTTCTCTCTTCCTTAAAACTGCAGTGAACCAAGCAGAAATATATAAAAGATAAATATTCAGTAAAAAGACAAGACAAAAGACCTAGGGGTGTTTTTGCAATCAGTAATATACATAACCAATGTTGGTAAACACATTACTATTCATGGTAATGCATTACTTTAACAAATAACTATGAATCTAATGAGTTGCTTTTAAGTCCAGACATCACTATGCAAATGGTAGAAGGAAAAAAACGCTATCTGCAAATTCTGATTAGCGCCTCTCAGAGCCGGTCAAACCAGCCGTCCGTTGCTGCTACTGTGGAGCCTAGAGATACCCTGACAGCAGCATCACGTCTGCCCCTCCCTTCCTTTCCCTAACACTGTAGCGGGGCAAAAATGTAAACAAACATATCTGCCGAACGTTTTCCCAGTGAGAGTGCTGTAAAGTTTGTATCCTATAATGAAATCATGGCGCGGAGGAAGCTCGTTTAAATGCGTCAAAAACAGTAAATGTAATACGTGTTTTAAGAAGAAACTGTGGTGGAAAGAGGTGAGATTGTAAGGCTCGCTGCAGAAATACAAACACAGAGCATCAACACTCATCTGTAACCCATAAAATAATAATGAGCATCATGCTGCTAGATCAGCAGCTTGTGATGACAGTTAGTTCTGCTCACTAGGTCAGCTGACCTTAATCCACAAGATGGGACATATGGCACTAGAATTCCAGATAAAGAGCTAGGAGCAAGGCCATTTAAACATTTGTAGGCCAGAACCAAAATCTTAAATTGAACACAGAACTGAACTGGGATCCAAGGCAGAGAGGCAACAACTGGAGTGATATGATCAAATCGACCAGTGCCAGTCTAAAGACGGGTTGCAGCATTTTGAACTAGCTGCAGCCTAGCAATACATCCATGATCAACACCCAAGTAAAGACTATTGCAGTAGTCTAAACAAAATGCATCAAATGCATTATAATAATAAATATCTAATAATAACTAACTGGTTAGCTCCAATAGCAGCTAGCTTATGGGCTGCGACTACACTCAGAATCTGGGGTTACAATACGTAACCAACGTTCTTTAGGTGAAAAAAGCATACTTGAACCACATTATTGACTTGAACATCAAATGTAAGCTGAGAATCATTCTTAACACCCAAATTAGACACAACATCCTTTGCATCATATGAGACTGAGTAACTACAGGAGCACCACTTGGTGCAAACATAATAAAGTCAGTCTTAGACTCAATAATCTGGAGAAAATTACAACCCATCCACAATTATTAACCTCACAAAGACAACTCAGATCTAAATCCTTAGCTTTAACAGGAGCATAGACCTGACAGTCATCAGCATAAAGATGGAAGTCAAGCTTATAGTTCCTAAAGATGGCCCCAAGAGGGAGAAAACATAAAATGAAAGCAGAGGACCTACTACAGAGCTCAGTGGGACCCCATATTTCAGGGGAGCATACCTTGAGAAGAAGATGCCAATCTTAACAGTCACATACCTGTCAGCCAGGTATGAACTCATCCAGAAGAGCGCTGAACCAGAGACCAAAAAAATTCTCCAGTCGATTGAGAAGTATAACATGATCAAGAGTATCAAAAGCAGCGGTCAGATCTAAGAGTAATAAAAAGACTGTCACCCCACATCAGTATATTGGTAAATATCATTGAACACTCTCACAAGCGCAGTTTCAGTACTATGCTTTGTTCTAAAAGCTGGTTGAAAAACTTCTTAAATTTGTTATTTAAATGGTCTGAAAACAGCTTAAAAACGACTTTCTCAAGAACCTTAGAAAGAAATAGCAGCGTAGAAATAGGTCGATGATTGGATAATACAGAGACATTAAGACCGGGTTTCTTAAGGGCTGCACGATTATGGCAAAAATGATAATCACGATTATTTTGAATGAAATTGATATGTCGATTATTTAACACGATTATTCAGTAACTTTGATTAAAGTCATTTATTGAACATAACATTGACTTTTTTACATTTATCATCTGTAGCTTTACAGACATTTAGCAAAACTGACTTAATTCTCCCAAACTAAAAGTGTAACTTTGTGTAAAGTGCAACAACAACCGAAATGTACAAAAACACATTATTAAAATAGAATATATAAAGAACATTGTGCCATGAACTTCCACAACCTACTGAAACTACTTTCAATAGTAAAAAAAAAAGAAATGTAAAAGCTATTTATTTTAAATCATCCTTCATGAATCAAGGTAAAAAAAATCACACGTTACTTTGAGGTATGTAAATCTTAGTGTGTGGTACCTGGAGAAAAAATCCAGTAGGGCACCACTGATTGTAAACAATACTGTATACATAAAAAAACGACTCAAATAGTAACTTTGTCTTGAAATATAAAATATAAAGTTCAACAACTGAAAAGTACAGTGTATGAAAATAAAAATATAAAGAACATTTAGCCATGCAATTAATTCCACGACTTAAACTACTGATCTTTAAAAACTAAAATAGAAAACAAATGTGCATGCTCAAGTCCTTTACTTTTACACTCTCTTTAAGGTTTTTAGCCAGAAAGACAAGCCTATTGACGTGATCTGGCATCAGAGATGCACGCAGACAGGTGACAATATTGCCACCTGTGCTGAAGACCCGTTCCGAAGAGGCACTTGTGGCTGGGATGCAAATATATTTCTTCGTAAGGAGGGATAATTTTGGAAAGAGCTTCGGGGATTGCTTCCATCACTCCAAGGGGTCTTCCTCAGTGTCAAGAGTCGCTGCCTGGAGGTAGGCCTATGGCTCTAAGGCTATGGCCTCATCTGGATGCAAAGCAGGCCCCGCACCACCTGGAGAAGTGCCCTCAGGGACCTTGAAGAAACTGCCGAGGCCCTTCTTCCTCCTCTTCTTCTTTGCTTCTTCTGTGTCATCAGATTCAGCAGGCATCTGCATCACTGGAGTCTCCTTTAAGGGAAAAATTAGAGGTCAGAGTGTGAAAGAAAAAAAAACATGTTTTGTCTGTGTAGTACAACTATGATTTTAACATTAAAGCTTCACATTAAATTATGATTTTACTAGGGCAGTGGCAATGTCTAGCAGCTCCTGGGTTGGTGGGTCATTGTATTTTTCATTTAGGTAGTCCAGAATTTTTTTCTTGATTGATTTGGAAAGATCTTTGTCATCATTTTGGTCTGCCAGGATTGAGTTATTGAAGAGATGTAGTGTTGCTTTCACCAAAGACACACTCACATATTTTTCACCAGAAAGAGCATCGGTGAAATCAACCAGAGGGCCCAGGGTCTTGCTCAAGGACATCAATATCCTGCCATGTGGGGATGAAGTGCCGGGCTCCCCTGTCTTGAGAGAGGACCTGGGCAATAGCCTTCTGCTGCTCGAGGACTCTGGAAACCATTGCATGACTCGAACCCCATCTTGTTGGACACTCAGTCTTTAGTGAGTGTTCAGGCAGACTCAGGGCCTTCTGCGCCTTGGCCAGCTCCTTCTTCTTTTTCCAACTGTAGGAGAAGGTGCTGAACACCTTCTTGCAGACCCCAATTGCCCGATCAATCCTAGCATCTTTCATGGCTCTCTCTGTGATTGGGAAAAAAAGAACATTCTGTTAAGATATTAATTTATTTGTTATAATGTATATATATATATATAATCCAATCCACAGATAAGACTGTCATTTGTGTGTGTGAGAGAGAAAGAATATCTTTCAGATTACGTATTCATTCATATAATTAATTCATAACGGATTCATTTTGAATAAATAAATTATTAAACAAACAGTAACTTTGTCTTGAGATACAAAGTTCTACTGAAAAGTACAAAAATACACTGTATAAAAATAAACAGAATAAATATAAAGAACACTTTGCCACCTACTTAACTACTGGCCTTTAGTTAAAGAATGAATCAAATGTCAAAGCAAGTTATATCACTCATGAATCAAAATCTCAAATATCACACTTATGTGGGAAAAACCAACAAAGGTAGGTAATGACTGTAAACAATTAAACAATAAAAATGGGATGGCCTCTGCCTTTTTCATAAAGGTTTTTTTAGACATGCATAGCCTGAGGTTGTAAACACTGTATGGTAATTTTTGTCATTCAATTCTAATAATTACATCCGTAAATCATATCCAGCTTACCTATGGCCAAATGGAGTCTGTGTCCGAAGCACTGAAACCTCATCCAGCCGTTGAGTTGAGCAGCCAGTGTTACGTTGCGGGCGTTGTCTGTGGTCATGCAGATGAGTTTCCCCTCATCTAGGTTCCAAGCAGCTATCGCTTGTCTCAGTCCAGCAGCGATGTTCTGCCCTGTGTGATCCTCTGGAAATAAGACGTCTGTAGACATCTAGTTTCCATGTTGAAATCGGCATCTATAAAATGAACCGTGAGGCTCATATACGGTTCCATTGTTTGGCTTGACCACAGGTCGTAGTGGTGGCGAAATATTTAACATTAGCAAGGTCCTTTAGAATGCCCTGGCGACACTCATCATAAAGAGCAGGAAGACACACTCGACTGAAATGATTTCGAGATGGCAAGTCGTACCTTTTATCTAAAGTCTCGACAAGTTTCTTGAATCCCACATTAGCAACCACAGCCTCCCAGACACTGTTCAGAGAGGTGTACTGTTTTCCCTCTTTGTAAATCTCACATTTGATGATGGACCATAGGTTCTCAATGGGGTTCAAATCAGGTGAACAAGGAGGCCATGTCATTAGTTTTTCTTCTTTTATATCCTTTCTTGCCCGCCACGCTGTAGAGTACTTGGATGCGTGTGATGGAGCATTGTCCTGCATGAAAATCATGTTTTTCTTGAAGACTTCTTCCTGTACCACTGCCTGAAGAAGGCGTCTTCCAGAAACTGGCAGTAGGACTGGGAGTTGAGCTTGACTCCATCCTCAACCCGAAAAGGCCCTACAAGCTCATCTTTGATGATACCAGCCCAAACCAGTACTCCACCTCCACCTTGCTGGCGTCTGAGTCGGACTGGAGCTCTCTGCCCTTTACCAATCCAGCCACGGGCCCATCCATCTGGCCCATCAAGACTCACTCTCATTTCATCAGTCCATAAAACCTTTGAAAAATCAGTCTTGAGATATTTCTTGGCCCAGTCTTGACGTTTCAGCTTGTGTGTCTTGTTCAGTGGTGGTCGTCTTTCAACCTTTCTTACCTTGGTCTTAGTCTTGAGCTAGCTTCTGCCTTCAGAGGGGGACCAGGCAGGGATGCCCACTCTCCCCCTCACTGTTCGCTATCTTTATCGAACCACTAGCGGAAGCAATTAGGCAAACAATGTGTATTAAAGGGATAAAGTGTGAGAAAATAGAACATAAGATAAGTCTTTATGCAGATGATGTTTTACTCTTTCTCCGGAATTCTCAATCGTCTCTCTCTCATTCAATAGAACTGATAAACTCTTTTCACAAGTTTCAGATTACTCTATAAACTGGTTAAAATCCACAGTTCTACCAATTAATTTCTCTTTTGTCAATTAACTTAATACACAATTGGAGTCAGGGAACATCACATAGCTGGGAATTAATGTCTCTCCCAAGTTAGCAGATCTAACCAAACCAAACTACATCCCACTTTTAAAGAAAGTGGAAGACGATATTGCAAGATGGAAATCCTTACCAATATCACTCATGGGGAGAGTTGCTACATTTAAAATGATGGTCTTACCCAGAATAAATTACTTATTCTCGATGATCCCAAACAAACCACCAGCTGACTGGTTTAAATCTCTGGACTCCTCAATTACCAAATTCCTTTGGCAGGATAAACCTCCATGTATTAGCTTAAAAACGCTTCAGAAAACCAAAGACAGAGGAGGACTGGATTTACCCAACTTTTATTATTATTTCTTAGCCAACAGGCTGCAATATATACCAAGATGGTTGCAAGATAACCCACTAGATGAGTCCTGGTTAGATATAGAACAGACACTTTGCAATACGATAGAGCTTTCAGACTTACCATTTATTAGCTCAAGCATAAGGAAACATGAAGGCTTCAAAAGTATTAGTATCAGCTCCTCTCTGACAGCATGGTGGGAGTATCTTAAAATGGCAGAGTCTTCACTAGTACCATGCAGACGCACACCTATCTGGAATAATCCTGACATTTTGCAAAATAATAAAATGATGAACCTTCCGGACTAGAAAAACAAAGGAATCCAATACCTGGAACACATACAGTGGGGCAAAAAAGTTTTTAGTCAGCCACCGATTGTGCAAGTTCTCCCACTTAAAATGATGACAGAGGTCTGTAATTTTCATCATAGGTACATTTCAACTGTGAGAGACAGAATGTGAAAAAAAAATCCATGAATTCACATGGCAGGATTTTTAAAGAATTTATTTGTAAATCAGGGTTGAAAATAAGTATTTGGTCAATAACAAAAATTCAACTCAGTACTTTGTAACATAACCTTTGTTGGCAATAACAGAGGTCAAAGGATTACTATAGGTCTTTACCAGGTTTGCACACACAGTAGCTGGTATTTTGGCCCATTCCTCCATGCAGATCTTTGAGAGCAGTGATGTTTTGGGGCTGTCGCCGAGCAACACAGACTTTCAACTCCCTCCACAGATTTTCTATGGGTTTGAGGCCTGGAGACTAGCTAGGCCACTGCAGGACTTTCAAATGCTGCTTACGAAGCCACTCCTTTGTTGCCCGGGCGGTGTGTTTGGGATCATTGTCGTGTTGGAAGACCCAGCCACGTTTCATCTTCAAAGCTCTCACTGATGGAAGGAGGTTTTGGCTCAGAATCTCACGATACATGGCCCCATTCATTCTGTCCTTAACACGGATCAGTCGTCCTGTCCCCTTAGCAGAAAAACAGCCCCAAAGCATGATGTTCCCACCCCCATGCTTCACAGTAGGTATGGTGTTCTTGGGATGCAACTCAGTATTCTTCTTCCTCCAAACACGACGAGTTGAGTTTATACCAAAACGTTCTACTTTGGTTTCATCTGACCACATGACATTCTCCCAATTCTCTGCTGTATCATCCATGTGCTCTCTGGCAAACTTCAGACGGGCCTGGACATGCACTGGCTTTAGCAGCGGAACACGCCTAGCACTGCAGGTTTTGACTCCCTGCCGTTGTAGTGTGTTACTGATGGTGACCTTTGTTACTGTGGTCCCAGCTCTCTGCAGGTCATTCACCAGGTCCCCCCGTGTGGTTCTGGGATTCTTGCTCACCGTTCTCATGATCATTTTGACCCCACGGCATGAGATCTTGCGTGGAGCCCCAGATCGAGGGAGATTATCAGTGGTCTTGTATGTCTTCCATTTTCTGATAATTGCTCCCACAGTTGATTTTTTCACACCAAGCTGCTTGCCTATTGTAGATCCACTCTTCCCAGTCTGGTGCAGGTCTACAATTCTTTTCCTGGTGTCCTTCAAAAGCTCTTTGGTCTTGGCCATAGTGGAGTTTGGAGTCTGACTGTTTGAGGCGGTGGACAGGTGTCTTTTATACAGATAATGAGTTCAAACAGGTGCCATTATTACAGGTAATGAGTGGAGGACAGAAAAGCTTCTTAAAGAAGATGTTACAGGTTTGTGAGAGCCAGAGATTTTCCTTGTTTGAAGTGACCAAATACTTATTTTCCACTCTGATTTACAAATAAATTCTTTAAAAATCCAGCGATGTGAATTTATGGATTTTTTTTCACATTCTGTCTCTCACAGTTGAAGTTTACCTATGATGTAAATTACTGACCTCTGTCATCATTTTAAGTGGGAGAACTTGCACAATCGGTGGCTGACTAAATACTTTTTTGCCCCACTGTATATACTGACTCTGTATGAATTAATACGAAGTGTGTTTATGGTCCCTGAATAAGCACAGAACCCTAGAATATTCTGATTAAACGTTCAAAGATCAGATTGATATTTCATATTTGTATGGAATATCACATCTTATTGGTCATAATTAATGTTTTAATTGCTACAAACATCTAACATAATCTACGATAGAAGAAATCAGGCTCTGATGTTCAGAGTGAACCACTTACAGAGAAACACACGTCTGTCTCTCTGGAATGAGCTGCCACTCATTATTCGACCGTCACCATCGCTGCAGGTTTTTAAGAGAAGACTCGTTTTTATCGTCTGGTTTTCTGTGATGGGTTTTTATCTTAATTGCTTGTGTTATGACCTTTTTTTCTATTTGTTTTAATGTTGTTTTTATTATCATTATTGCTCTTTTGTGATTTTATTCTGTCGTGTTCAGCGCCTTGGGGCCCAGCAAGGTTGGTGGAAGGCGCTATATGAATAAAATTTGATTGATTTGACATTTGATGGGTTCTGATCTGAACTGGGAGAGACTGAAGATCAAGAATCAACAAGAAATGACGTGAAAGCTGCAACCTGATGAGGAAATCATCTGACCGACTACAAGTCATTCTGGAACTTTCATGTTTTTCTGGACTTTGAGTTGATTTTCAGTCTCCATTCAAACGAAAGCTGCACAAAAACTTGGTATCATTTCTTTGCGAGCAAACAAAGTGCTTGCTTGATGTGGATGGTGCCTCCACAGCTGACGGTCCTCAGCTAACAGCATCACAGACTCTGCATCTACCTAAGTTTTCAGAATCAAAAGAATGAAGCCACAAGTGTTGAAACCAATGTCTGCCTAGCAGAGCTGGACAAGCGCCCCCTGATGGTTAGTAGGAAGAGACCAGATGTGCCATCTCATCCTTGCTCAGAGCGTTTAAGACCACATCTCCACTGCAGAAGAAGCTGTAGCACCACCACTCTAAGAACATCTGGAGCTGGGCCACCTTGGGAAAGGCTGACAGCAAATGTTTCCCCAACAGTTGTGTGTGAACACATGAATCAGCCTCTAGTTACATCTAGATAGTATGGATTACATATAGATGACATGGAGCCAGATGGGTCATGTGACCAAGCTCAAGTCTTCATTCTCCAGGTGTGTCAGAGAAGCTTTTATCAACATCTGAAATCATCAGTTTCAGCACAGAATGCAGCAGCTCACCTGAAGACAGGTAGGAGACGGCACCACCACATCACATCTGCATGGCCTCTCTACACTGGCTTCCTGTTCGTTTCATCATTCAGTTCAGGAGGTTTTAAGAAATGTGTCTGGTTAGCTGCAGCAACACGATCCAGTCAGAATGCTGAAGTCAGCCCCTCAGCTGCTTCTGGACATCCCCACCACCAGATGAAAGGACAGCTGATGGAGCCGTGTGTAGTGTTGTGGGATTTTATTAGAAACTTAGAGAAAACAGTCCTGGATTCAGTCAGCAAATTAAGTTTTATTACAATAAGAAACAAATATCCTTCCATCCATTTTCTATCCTAATCAGATGCTCGAGCCACCTCAACTGGCTCGTCTTGATGTGGAGGAGCAGATCTACTCCGAGCCCCTGTCGGGTGACAGAGCTTCTCACCCCATCTCTAAGGGAGAGCCCAGCCACCCTGCGGAGAAAACTCATTCCAGCTGCTTGCATCAGAGATCTCGGCCCAAAGCCCGTGACCATAGGTGAGGGTAGGAACGTAGATCGATTGGTAAATCGAGAGCTTTGCCTTCCGACTCAGCTCTCTTCACCACGACAGATCGGTACAACGCCTGCATCACTGCAGATGCAGCACCAATCCACCCATTGAACTCACGCTCCATCTTTCCCTCACTCGTGAACAAGACCTTGAGATACTTGAACTCCCCCACTTGAGGCAGGACCTCGTCCGTGACCTGGAGAAGGCATTCTACCCTTTTCTGATTTAAGACCATGGTCTCAGATTTAGAGGAGCTGATTCTCATCCCAGCTGCTTCACACTCGGCTGCGAACCGCTCCAGCAAAAGCCGGAGATCTTGTTCTGATGAAGCCAATAGGACCACATCATCTGCAAAAAGCAGAGATCCAATCCTCTGGCCACCAAAACGAATGCCCTCAACACCACATAAACAAATAATGAAACATAAAGATCATTGCTGTAGCAAAGTGTACTTTAATCTTAGTGAAACAACGATGTCTCATTAAACTAAACAGGACAGAAAATAAAAATTACTAAAATCAAAGATTGAAAGAAATGTCCACCATCCTGTAACAGCTGCTTTACCCAGAAGAACAGAACACACTCATAACACCTGAATGATGGAGGACACTCTAATAGGTCTGCAGAGAACCTTTAATGTTCAAATAATTCAAAAATTAAACCATCATAACAGCCCTAGACAGATGAAGACATAAGACCTTCTGTATAAAAGACGATCGTGTCTCCTGTCAAGTGTTGATGATCCAACAGCGGACTGAACCAGAACCGCTCCGAACTCTGTCATTTACCATCTAAACACACATTGTTCATGATTCTTCCTCAGTAGCTTTTTTCTCACAACAGGATTCATTTTTAGTCTAAAAATTTCCCTTTTTTTATATTTTTATTATGGTCTTTGTTCGTTTTTTTCCAGTTTTGT